CCCCAAAACCCCAAAACCCCAAAACCCCAAAACCCCTAAAACTATTTAAAATTTTGAAACCACAATTTCTTAAAACGCTAAATGTTAATTTAGTCAGAATTAAACTCTGGGAATAGAGTAAAGTAGGACCTAGCAACATTTAGCCATATCGACTTTTTCTGTACAAACTTTGGTTTTCTTAAAATCTTTTCTATTTTAGTCTAAATGTCTTACATATTGAAGGTAATCCAAGTTCGATCCCAACCTTCAGACCACAAATTCCCAATATATTATTTAACATACCTAAATATCAATTACTCCCCTACAACCCCTCCCTCCAGCTCTACCAACCCAGAGTTAACACCCCTTGACTCTAAAGCACTGAGCCCGGAACAAAAGTGAACCCGAAATGGAAGAGAGGAGGGGGCAAAAGGGAAATTTAGACTTAGGTGTGGAAGCAGAGGGATTATTGGGGTGTTAGGAAGGGGTTGAGGAGAATGAAGAGTAGAGGGGGTAAGATGTGACTGGTTTTGTAGGGGGGAGGGAAGAAAAGGAGGCTGAGTTGGATTAGGTGTATGAGATAATAGGGTAGAAATTAAGAAAATGTGGGTTTTATGGTTGCTTAAAAGGGTGTATTTTTGGTTTTAGTGTATGGATTGAGATATTTTTATTTTATAACTCTAAAATCGAAAGAAAGGAAAAATTAAATGCACGTGCTTTTATTTATTTGAGTCTTAAGAGAAATAAATATTAAAATATTTTTCGTCTCAGAAGATCTGTTTTAAGTTGGTTCTGTAGCATTTACATATCCTCCAAAGAACTCCTTCAAAATTTGATATACCTCTCTAGGTATTAATTCAGGGCCTCCTGTATTAATCACTTCTACACAATAAAGTCCATCCTTAACCTCTAGAATTCTTACTGTATGAAATGCAGGCCTTTCATCCTCTCTATTTTCTCGTGGAGGAGTGAAAGTTAATGAGTAGTGTTCATAGCTAAAGGAAGCCTGTATGGCAAAGTGTTGAATGAAAACAAGTAAAGTTTTATATAGAGTTTCAACATCTGATGTAGAAAAGAACTGGGTAAACTTCTTTAGCTCTGGAATATAACATTCGCAAGTCCTAACTTTATCAAGATTCTCTTCATATTCATATAATTCAATTCTCGATAAAAAGCTTAGAATAATGTCAGACACGTCTTCTATATCAGGAGTATCTTTTCCAATTTGATCAATAACAGGGTTTACAATGCTTATTCTTTTATCTATTTCTTGTATAATCTCATCATGAGTTGGGACTTGGCCTGTGTACCATTCTAACTCTTTGAGTTCATCAAGAGATGGTCTCTCGAGTGGGTTAAAGCTCAGCAAAAGATTAATAAATTCTTTTATTTCTAAACTCAAAGCCTGCAAACCCTGTGAGTGCTCTTTTAGATGCTTTCTCCAAAATAATTCGGGCTTTAGCAATATCAGATATTTATAGTAACTATCATTCTTATCAGGATTTTTAAAAGGATACTTGCCTGTAACCATTGTAAAAAGTAACACTCCAGCTGAGAAAAGATGACAACTATCTAAAGAGATCTTTTTATTGTCACTAGTTTCAGAGTAGCTCATACTTCCATAAACTTCTGGTGCTAAAATAAAGTTAAATTAATTTTTAATAAAAATGAAAAATTGTTTCAAAAAAAAATCGAGGCTAAAACTAAAACTACACCCCTTTTGATAAGCAAAGAAACGATAAAATTATTATTAATGAAATAGTGTCAAAAATTAGAATTTGTGTTAAAAGTAGGCCAAAAAATATACAACAATGTTTCTAATTCTTAAAGTCAAATCATTATGGTTAGTGAATGTTTACCTTGTGTTACGCCAATGTGTCTTATATCCCATAAATATTCCTCAAAAACCTTTCCGGTAGGATCTCCTACTATAAGATTGTACTCTTCATCAAGAAATAGGTTATTATAACTTAGATCATATTGTTTGGTTCCGTTTTGACTAAGGTGTCCAATTGCATCACAGAGTTGATAGAAATAGTATCGTGCCATTTCCTCAGAAAATGGACCAGTTAAAGAGATTAAATCAATTAATTTTTTGCCAGAGACAACATCTGATGCTATTGAGAGATAAACTTCTGTTGACTCTCACTCATTCGTGATTAATGTATCTAACCCATATTCAATAATGCTTGATAACCTAGGGTGACTTAGGTTTGCAATTTCCTTCTGTATTCATTTAGGACTAAGAATGTATTTATGAATATATAGGAACTAATTCTTAATAAAAGGGGAAAATGAACATTGAGAGCTTTATGAAAGAATGCAAAGGGGCATATGAAGGAAAGGTTCGTGTATTAGATAATTAAAATCTACAGTTTCTAGCATATCTTATGATTACTAGGATTAATTAAAGATATAGAATACATTATCGTTACCCAAACCTTGCTTTAAGGCACTTACAATTTCTTCTTCTTTTGATTGGCCAATATCCTGATAATCAATGATCTTAACCATTGCTTTTTCGAGAGTATTCTCCTTCTCTGCAAAGTAAAGCCTAAATAGTGAGTCTTGGCCAGTCACAGCCACTTACTTTGAGGTAGGAGTGCAACTAAGCTCCTTGATCAGTCTCCATTTTCCACAAGATATCATCTTTAATTTTATATTTATTAAAATTTCATCTCTTTTATACCTTCCTGGGGTTTTGGGGTTTTGGGGTTTTGGGGTTTTGGGGTTTTGGGG